CTGAGACTAGGGTCGAAGTCTTTTTGAAAATGGACGCGAAGTATCGTCGGTACCGCGACAAGTGTCGTGAGATGCATGCGCAACTTAGGGAGGACAGTAATACTCAGTCTGTTAGGGAAGAGTTGGAGAAAAGGGATGAGGAGCTCGAAGTGGGCAAAGGGGTTGCGACGGAGTGTGAAAACCTTCAAGCGAAGGTGCAGTCTTTGCGGGCCGAGCTTGAACAAAATGCTACTAGAGTCGCTGATTTAAGTGTTGAATGGACGGAGAAGGTGGCCGAGCTAGAAAAGAAGGTGATCGAGTTAGAGATATCCGAGGGGGCTCGGGTGTCGGCTTTAGCGAGGGCGGCGGCGCTAGAAGATACTATCTGCGTCCTCATGTCTGAAAAGGAATCTGAGAGGGCGACGGCCACACTGAGGGAGGCACGGCTCGAAGAGCGTATTGGGGAACTTGATCGGGAGGCTACGAACCTCGGAGACCGAGTTGCGATTCTTGAGGCCGAGAAGGCGCAGTTGTTGGCTCAGGCTACCCCTCAAGAATCTGCCTCTACTACCGTCCCCCGCCGTTTGTATGAGTTATGGGTCCATGCTGAGGCCTAATGAGATATATACAAGGGTTTGTGGGAGGCAATGAGCGTTCTTGAGACCGCTTTTAAAGATGCTCGGGTGAAGGCACACGAGGTTCGTATTGCCTGCGGTTACGACCCTGCGACACCGGAGGCCGGTGAGGGTGCTGAGATTGAAGATGGACTTCCTTTTGATGATGATGATGATGATGATGATGATGGGGAGAACGGCGGTGGAGATGATGCCGAGTGAAAAACATTTCTTGCAGCTTTCGTACTAAGTTTTTTTTTCTTTTGTTGTTTGTTTTCATCTTTTCCTTGGGAGCCCGCTTTTGGCCTTTTGTAAGGCGCAGCAGTTGCGCATGTACATTTTATGAATAAAATAGTTGCTTTGCCTTGGGTTATGCATCTTTTGACTTTCTTTCTCCCTTCTCCCTTTTTTTTTTGAAAAAGATCTTCGGACTTCCCCGCAATGAGTCCTTGATTTTTACTTGGGAATTCGAATAATGTCGAACTTAGAGCAATTCGAGCGAGATCAAATGTGAAGTAATTCGAGCAAGGTCGAATATAAAGTAATTCGAGCGGGGTCGAATGTAAAGTAATTCGAACAAGGTCGAATGTAAAGTAATTCGAGCGAGGTCGAATGTAAAGTGTAAAATCACTTGGTGGGGTTGTGCGAAGATGCTGCTTCATTTATTTCATTCGATGGAGAATATTACATATTGCTGCTTGTTTCATTCATACATTGGAGAAGTTCTAGTCTACCTAGTCCCTTCATCGTTCGGCCTGGAGAAGTTGTCGATAGGCGCGGCGATGAGTTTCACTCGAATTTAGTTTGCTTGATCCGAGCGAGATTGAATCTCGTTTTGTGAGTTCGATTGAAGTCGCTTTTGATCTGAAAATTCGAGTGAGGTTGACTTCTGATTTTCCATTTTGGGCGAAATCAGTTTTGACTTATATATTCGAGCGAGGTCGAATTTTGCTTTCACCTGGTGATGGCCGTAAGGGTGTTAAGTCGAGCAAGGACGAATTGTAACCCGTTTGGCGATGGCCAATGGCCGTAAGGGTGTTAAGTCGAGCGAGGTCGAACTGTAACTCATTCGGCGATGGCCGTAAGGGTGTTAATTCGAGCGAGGTCGAATTGTGACTCGTTCGGCGATGGCCGGTGTAAGGGTGTTAATTCGAGTGAGGTCGAATTGTAATCCGTTTGGTGATGGACGATGGTCGTAAGGGTGTTAATTCGAGTGAGGTCGAATTGTAACCCGTTTGGTGATGGTGCGGCTTTGCCTGTTGCATTACTTTTATTGGAGAACATCACTCATTGTTGTATTGTTTATGCATGCATTGGGGTGAGTTTGCTTTCATTGGAGAGTATCGTGCGTCGGGATGAGTCCCGATTTGTTTAATTTTGCTTTCATTGGAGAGTATCGTGCGTCGGGATGAGTCCCGATTTGTTTAATTTTGCTTTCATTGAAGGGTACTGTGCATCAGGATGAGTCCCGATTTGTTTAATTTTGCTTCATTGGAGAGTACTGTGCGACGTGATGAGTCCTGATTTGTTTAATTTTGCTTTCATTGGAGAACGTTATGCGTCGTTACAACGTGTACGTGTCGGTGGAGTCCCAGTTTACCTAGACCCTTCTTTGCTTGGCTTGGAGAGGTCGTTGTCGGGACAAACGACGAACTTATTGCTTGGGCTTCTAGGCACCTTGGACTAAACGATGTTCGGACGCGATTCACAATATTTAGTTCGCTGAATTGGCGTAGGATTGCCATGGCGAATATGCATGCAAGCTTTTCGAGTTCAAATTCTGCTTGTGTCGGAGAGACAGTATGTTCCACGTGCTCACCGCTTAGTCCCGGTTCATGGAGATTTTCTTAATAATATCAGCTTGTTTTGAGCCGTTTGTCTGCTATTTGCAATACGGTATGGTGTGGAGGGTTTTGTTTGGTGTGTTCGGTGTTGTTTGTTCCTTGTTCGCGTACTTGTGAGAATGCTCATGTTCCTATCCCAGTCCAAAAAGAGAAAAATGACAAGTTAGTTCCAAATGAAATTGCTCGTTACCTTGACCCGGTAAGTCGGGGGGGAGGGCGCTATAAGGCGACTCGTTCCACCCCGTACTCGAATGGCGATTTCAGATTTGGCAGCCCCATGTTTGGCTTCACCATTAGTCGCATCTAGGCTTCTCATGGGCTGAACTTACCTTGCCCGTTGGGATCTCGAGCTCGAGTCCTGGTTCAACCCCGTCTGATGTGCGTAGATAATAAGGGAAACATGTTATACCCTGTGCATATGGGTACAAAAACAAAGCACGGTAAGTCGGTTATTTCAAAAAATCACACAGTAGGCTACCGTCCCTTCCTAAGAGGCAGAAGTATAGATCGGCATATAAAGTTAATACGACAAATAGGATTGTGGGCGTGCTAAGTGCGTAGTGGTCGTAATCCCACTTTGAGTACACATACGACGTGTCGAACCCATCACTACAGTCGAGGCATGGGTTTTATATAGACGTCAGACCTAATTTTGATTTCATGTAGAGACCTAACCCTAATTGGCTTAGTTATTTCAAAAGCTTGCCTATAACTTTCTCAAGTTGGTATTTGGTATTTATACTGAGAGGGTGAGCTACGACAACCGGGAAGTGAAACTCTGGTTGACTTTAGATCTAGAGGGAATTAAGATTTTGGCTAGAAAATCCCCACAGATGGCGCCAAATTGTTTGACCAAAAGGTGTTAAGCTTTTTGTTAAACTAATTAATGAGAAAATAGAGGATAAATCCTAGCCAAGGATAATTAGCTCTAGATCAAAGTGCATTAAATAGGAGAATAAGATATAGTCAAGCTCATGAACCTTTAAGACTTATAAAGGATATCAAATATAAATGACATGCTTACATTCTTGATGTATTGTTCCGTAATGTAAGAATAAAGAAGGAAAAGAAGGAAAAGAAGGAATGCCATTAACAGCTGCGAGATCTATCTTTATTGATTCAAGAAAGATGATTACAAAGATTTGCCGCCTAGATCCGAAACTTCTCTTATTTTTCTCCTGTAGCATTCTCCGGTTCTTCTGCCTCTATTTTCTAAAAGAGACCAGACCCCCTTTTCTGGTTATCTTCCCCCTCTATATATAGTAAGTATTCCCTTTTATCCAACGGTTCTTAGTCAGAATGCCTTAATCCGTTGATTGTACGTTGGTTGTTCCCCTTAAATGTCTCGACATATACTTTGCCGTACAAGCTTTCTGATAGTTCGATCCCGGCAGCAGCCGGGATACTCGTTGTTATGATGTTTTATGAATACGACCACGACTTAATCGACCCCTCGCCATTCCTTTTAATACTGCTCCTCGTGTGGTCAGATTTCGACCTATATAATTCTCTAGTCCTAATCAATGCTATAAACATTCATGCTGGAACACCTTGGCGGATTGGACTCACTAGCAAACTGGAGCTTACATAAGAAGACTTCTATTTTCTTCATGGGAGCTGACGCTTACCTATGATTAAAATCAGTTAGTCAACTTCAAAATTAGGACGAGAAAGAATTCCTTCGCTGTTTAGCCATTTTCATAATTGGTTTAGTTTAGCTGGAAGGATTAATACCTTGCTCAAGCTTTTACTTTGGAGCACTTTATTTTATACTCCACTGGGACATTTTGTCCCCAGCTGTTGACTTGGGAGTTGTTTAGTTTAGATTTACGAACTCCTCATGTAATGATAATTTAATTCAGAATTATGGAAATTAAACTAAGAAGAAAAAACTAGTATGACAGACAAAAAGGTGACCGGGTAAATGACAATATAGCCACATAAATACATAAATGGGCTGTACTTTACACAAATCAGACGATGAAACAAACAATGACAATGCCAGTGATTAACCTCCCCATACCAAATGGCTTATTTTTTAAGAAAACAGTTTCCTAAAAGCATCTTCCAGTGCCTGGTTAGTAAGTAAGAGATATCTTAGGAAGAAAACGTAAGTTTAATAATATTGTTAACAAATCAAATAGTGCTTGATGAACTACTTATTATTAATGAGTGATGATGTATCGTTCAACTATTGAGTTAAGCAATGATATACCGTCAACAAATCAGACAGTCGTGGTGAAAAATGACGTCTACCACAGATCTTTATCAAAATTTACAAGTTTTTAAAGATTTTTGGAAATTTTTTATCAAAAACCAAAAAGTAAAATGCATGTCCAAACATAATTTCAAAAGAAATTCTCGCCCATAAAATTATAACATTTTTTCAAGTGAAATGTATGTCCAAACATAATTTCAAATTTCAAATATCATTTTTCAACTTAATTTCAAATATTACTTTTTCTTTAAAAAATCAAAATATTTATGTCCAAACACCTACTTCTTTCTTTAAAAAATCACAATATAATCAGTACGCGGATCGCTATAAAAGTGGACAACATAGTCATAATGAGAATACCATGTCTTTGCATCCAACGTGTAAACCCAGCTCCAAAGTTTATCCTTAGAAATTCTGTTTATCAAATGGGCAGGGGAAGGGCAGCAAGATGATTTTTAGCCAATGCTACCACCATTTTTCTCCAATGGATGAATTAATTACATTTGGAGACTTGACAACGAAAACGAGATATCCATGAGAAAATACATGCACTTCTATTTTGAAGCTTGGTTTCCAAGCCAAGCATTCTCAGGAAAATTTGTCCCTATAAATTATCCTCGGCCTCAAGCGGTATAGAAAGAAGCAAAAATGAATCCGCTAATCTTCCTCTCGGAGTATTCCCTCTCATCATCTTATACCACTTTGATCAACTAATTAGCTTTCTGAGTCTCTTTTCAGCCAGACTGGCAACCTTATTCTGCGGTTCCAGAACGAGTGCATGTCTGAAATCTGGAATGTCCAAATTCACAGTAAATTAATGAACAACCAAACTAAAAGGAAAACAGAATCCCATCTCTGGGGAGGATACACCATCAACCTAAAACTGATATCTGTGCAGTTTTACAAGTGTCTTCAACAAATATGGTTCTACTTTTGATATCACAACGAAAAAAAGGAAATATAGTTCATGTTTAACATGAACCATGGAAAAAATGGAAGTGACAAAAAATTAGAGTGAATAATATGGTCAATGGGAAAGTGGTTACAAATTGATTATAACGTTTTTAATTCACACACGCACACATTAAATTTATGTATATAGTGAGAGCTTCGAGCCAAAAGCAATGGTGCAGAGGTGTCCACACCTACTGCTACTTAAATAGCTGCCCCGTGACACAACAACAACAAAAAACCAGTGGTATCTCACATTTGGAGTCTTGGGAAGGTAGTGTGTACGCAGTCCTTACTCCTACCTTGCGAAAGTAGAGAGGTTTTTGGTAGACTCTTGGCTTAGGAAAAATATAAAGGTAAAGAAGATTAAAAAGCTCAGGAAAGGTAAAAAGCAGGAAATAACAAGAAGCAGTAACACAGCAAAGCAATCAGAAAACGAAAGCGCAAAAATCGACAGGTAATAACAAAAATCTGAGAATAAGAAATACAAGATTAGCACTAAGTAATGCACTAAAACTACTGGTATGAACAAGGTAGACGCTAGGCTACCTAACCTTCTATCTTAATTCTCAACTTCCACACCTTCCTATCAAGGGTCATATACTCGGTAAGCTTGAGCGTCGCCATGTGTTGCCTAATCACCTATTCCCAATACTTCTTTGGCTTACCCCAACCTCGCCAAAAGCCCTTCACGACCAACCTCTCACACATCCTTGCTGGGCAATCACCGCCTCTCCTCTTCACATGTTTGAACCATCTAAGAGCCCTTTTGGCTAAGCTACCAAAAACTACTTATTTTGAAAAGTACTTTTGTTCAGAAGTGCTTTTCGAAAAAGTACTTTTTCATAGATTAACAGTTTGTGTTTGGTCAATTCATTTGAGAAGTACTTTTTGCGATATTTAATAAGCGAATTGTGTTTGGCCAATCTTTCCAACAAGTACTTTTGAGTGTCAAATTACGGTAAAGGAGAATAAAAATTAGTTTTACATTAGCATTATTTAAAAAAGAGCAATCTTAGATATTTATTATAAGAGAATTTAATTATTTTTAAATTTTTATGTAATTATATTAAAGTATAAGACATAAAGTAATATATGTATATGTATATATATATATATATATATATATATATCAAGATTTAAACAATATAAATATAAGTATATAAAAGCAATAATTTTAGTAGGAACATATGTGCTTACAAGTAACATGTATAAAAAACAACATCAATTCTTGAGAAAAACAAACTAGGTAGTATTGCATTATGTCAACTATATTATATGCATGCGCGCAAAAAAAAAATAAATAAAATTACAAAGTGGAGATCATATAATATTGGTATACTATAAGAAGAAAAAAATCATACCTTACGAAGAAAATGCTTGGATATGGTGATTAACATTGTTATTTCAAAGAGTAATAGGAGACTAAGAAGAAACGGCGGAAGAGAAAAGAAGATATCTATTTATAGTAGAGAGATTATTCTAAATAGGAATAAGAGAAGAAAAATAAAAATACGGTAAATATAAAAAAGAGAAAGAAAGAGATGGTAGAAAGAAAAAACGTAAAGGTTAAATTAATAAGGGATGATTTAGGAAATATAATTTTACAGTTAGGATATTTATGTCTTGAAAGAATTAATTTTCTGCTTCTGCTTTTTGTGGGAAGGCATAAGGAACTGTATCATATTTTTGTACAAATATGTAAAGGCTCTACTAATGTTATTTTGGATGCATATTTATAAGACAGTTGACAGAACTGTTGAGCCGAGGGTCTCCCGAAAACAACCTCTCTACTCTTTCGGGGTAGGGATAAGGTCTGCGTACACTCTACCCTTCCCAGAAAGTCTCTTATTGTGAGGCTTCCCTTCCCTTCCTCTAGGGCTTTTCTTCTCTTATTCTCTAAAGGCAGATAAAGCCATCTGATATAGGGCTTTCTCCTGTAATCTGTCTCTTGATAAGAAGCTTTCTTTTGATCTGGGTTAATCTCGTCTTCTTGAAGAATTATGGATTCCTAAACCTAGTAAGGGAAAGCGATTCTACTCCACTAGTGGGATTTTGCTGGGTATGTTGTTGCTTCTTGAAAGAAGCTAGAAGTTGTAGCTTCTTCTCAAAAGCAGAAAAATTGCTTATGTTGCTGCTTAAAAGCACTTCTCGGTTTTGGCCAAACGCCTCATATTTTCAAATAAGTACCTTTTTGACAAAAAAAGTACTTTGACCTCTGAGAAGCTTGGCCAAACAGGCTCCAAGTCTCGCTTCCCACATCTTGTCCTCCACAGGAGCTACTCCCACCTTGTCCCGAGTAACTTCATTCTAATCTTATCTACCCTGGTATACTCGCACATCCATCTCAATATTCTCATTTTTGCCACATTCATCTTCGTGACACACAAGGCACTAAAAAACAAAATAGCAGCAAAACCAGAAAATAGGAAGCCANACTAAGTTAAATTTGGTAATTGTCCTTGTCATTAGCTCCGGAGAGCTCTTAGTGATACGGAGATATCAACCCTGAGCAAATTCTGTGCAATTCAAATATTTCTTCCTACACAAAATGGAATCAATATCTGATAAACACTTACAACAAGAATTCATTGCAGAAAGAACGCAAATGAACAGGAAAGATGCACCTTGCAACGGACAGAGTCACATAGAAGCACCATAACCTCACCTTGTAGAGCCTCTTTATAGAAGAGAAGCGACTCCCTAGCTGTTCCCCGTCTCAAATAAGCCTTTACATTCTGCAATTAAAATAAATAAATTCCGCCAAGTGAGAATACATTTGGATCATACATGCATCAAATAATTAACCTAAGCTACAAGTGGAAAAAGTAGAATAGTATGAGTCTAACCTTACATAATTAAGCTCTCACGTAATTAACTTTATGTATAGCTTGTAAAGTGTGAATTTCTTTTTTATTCTCAAGTTGTAGATAAGTAAATATTGATTTCCTAGATCAAGTATGCTACAGATTTACCCTAGTTTTGGTTCTGATTTCAGAAATCAAATTGTATCTACTCTCGAATTTTTTCGTCCGTCGTGATTAAAGTACCCAATATTGTTTGACCAAATCCGGTACGGATCCCATACCAACACCCATACTAGTGTCGTGTCGACACGGGTGGAGCACTTAAAACTGCCGTGTCGGAGCAACTTAGTTGAATACTAGTATTATTTTGGAATAATATTACAAAGGAGTGTTAGATTAGAGTACAACTCAGAAAAAAGAGTGCACTTAATATCAGTTGCACAATTCCAGAAATTAAATTTCTCCTGATACCTTTTTATCAAGTAAAATTGCTTTAGTACAGTCCTCTTCAGCTTGTCGAAAGCTGCAAGTGAAACGTAAATAAATAAATTAGAACCTCAAGCGCTGAAGAAGTTGTTCTACATGATTTTTTATCATACCACCCCAATTCTAAGTAAGCAGCTGCCCTGTTGCAATAGTATGTGGCGTTATCATTCAATTTTATTGCTTCTGTATAGTAGCTCACGGCTTTGTTCCACTGCTTGCCCTTATATGCAGCATTTCCCTACACAAAACACCATGATAAATTAGAAGAACATACTAATGAAAGAACCCATAACTTTCAGAAGATAGTAAAGTGAATATGGATAACTATTATGCACAACATTATTCCATATTGCATATGCTGTTACTTATGACTGAAATTAAAAATTTGCTAGGATTACGGTAACCACTTAGCAGTAGCAAATCGACTGGAAATCAATGTTACAACAATCGTTGTGAAATTGAATGTTTCTTGTATGTCTTATTAGCGGACTCTTCTTCTTTGGAGTAGAGAATGAAAGTCAAAGTTAATATTTTTAAGTGCCCCCCATGCTGCTCATCAGAGATAATATTGAATACCAGTGCTGGGAGCTAAAAAGCTGTAACAAGGAGATGTGAATTATACTTCAGGTCTTTGTACCCTGTCGGATGAGGATATAAAACAGTTTGATGCCACAAAGAGAATTAAGGAACTGAATATAATCATGTTGAACAAAACTAAGCAGTTGACCTTAACATATTAAAAGAAAAAGAGTAGAACAAAACCTTTTCTTTCAAAAGTTCAGATGCATCAATGCTCCCATTGGTATCCGATAATGGTGATGCACTGGATTGTATGCTTACTTCCTCTTGAAGAGACGAATACATATCCAAGACAGTGTCAAGTAGAAACTTATCAGTCCCATGAGATGCAATAAATGACAGGGATATAGGATAGTTATCATGTTCTCCAAAAGGAATGGAAGCCTGACATTCAAAACAAGGAACAGAATATGAAATCACTAAAGAATGGAAAGAAATCTGAAGTATGGGGAAGACTAAGTACAGCATGATGCTTGAATACTGCAAATGAAATTACCTGACAGCAACCTGACATACTGGCAATGCTCAATAAGGCAAATAGTCTATCATGAACTTCAGCCGATAGACCTTTCCTTGACTTTAATTTTGAAGGAGGATCTGCGGTCGTCGGAAGTACCAATATGCTATTGTTCTTCAAATAAAAAAAGTGAGTCCTTGAGATGCATATTCCATGAAGATCAAATAGATACCACAAACATGAAAATCAGAGTAAAGATTGTCTGGCTTTAGAATGAACTGAGGTCATTTTTTTACATTCAACTCTTAGAAACATTATTTTATGTCATGTGGTCAAGCAGAGGAATCAGGGATCTCTGTGAGATAAATACATTGATAGTCTAGAAGGTAATGTTGAACTCATTATTAAATTGGTGTAGAAAGTTTCTTTGATAGTTAAATCTATACATGATTGTATAGCTTTAACATGCCATTAGATATGCCGATACAATAGTTGGATGTAAAAAGTGGGATTATGATACATTGGAATTGTAATACAAAGGACCATACTAGTGGGGGCATTATAAAAAGGGAATAGCTAACAAATTGGTTAATGACATCGACCATCCTGTAACACGATACTCTATTTGAGGGATAAAAGAAATCGAAGCAGAGGGGTTTTGAGAGAGTAACCAAATCACTAACTATACATGAGTGTTACGAATCCTTTTCTATTTAACAACCAAAGGCCCATCACCAATAGTCCAATACTATATGTGATATGACTGTTTCTGGCCAACCAAATGACTCCCTACTTTTTCTGATGTATTGTACATGCCAAACATTGTGGGACAACCCAAAACACAAACATGTTACATGAAATGGGATGCAAGACCAAGTGTTATATTGCATCAGAGATTAAAGTGGTAAGTGACATGGTAAACTTTTCAAACTGTTTCCTTGACATTTGTACCCAAAGTTGTTTGAACATTTAAGTGGTATTGATGAAGATGAGAAGCTAATGGTACCTCATAGCTGCCACCAACGGAGTGGTAAAATCTCAGACCTCAAACCCCACCCNGTAGAGACTTTAGAACCTAATCTCGGTTTCACCGCTTTCATCCATTCTTCATAATTTGTTTTAAACTCATATCTGAGAAAAATTAAGCAACAGAGATGATGGTCATGGGGAAATCAAAGCCTCGACTACATCAGAATTATCGACGAGATAAGGCAGGATGAAGAGGAAAAAAACAGAGATAACAGAGATAGCACAGATGCAGCTGCTGAGTATGTCTATAAACTAAGTTTAGACAAACATGAGAAATAGTACACTAAAAGGCATACCACAGTGAACCACGTAAAGCAATCTTTCTCGAAAGGCAACAAAAATAAAGAGAATACTAAATGCTCCTATCTGATTCAAAAATAAATCCAGTTGATATTTACTTATCCCAAAAAAAAATCCAGTCCGCTAAAATTGTTTTTAATGACTGAGAAATCTGTCTCGGACCGGCCGCAGCCTTCGAAACTCAGGGATACTTGGTCCACCCCCTACCCTTCTCCACTTAAACAACAGGCTTAGTTCACATGGCGCAGAGCCCGAACCTGTGACCTAAGTCATAAGCCCCTCAACCTTTGCCACTTGAACTAAGCCCTACAGGCAAAAATCCAGTTCGACATTTCCCACCAGTACCTGCTATCCGTCAGCGCTTTACTACTAATAGAGAAAATCAACAGCACCTTGCAGATGGTTGTCAGTGCTTTACTGCTAAAAGTGCAAAATGCAGCACTATAACTATCAATTAACAAGTCACGTGCTACTTAACTTCCAAATAATTGCAGTTTTGACAAAGTTATTGATATATTGACAAGGTGGAGTGCTTTAAGCTATGAAAAACTCCAGCTAGCGGTTGAAAGTTTCAAGGTGAAAGTGGCTTGGTGAAACATACACTGCCAGTGCTGGAATGCCCCATAGTTGCTTTGGTTATAGATCATAAATTATACAGAAGTCTTCCAGATATAGTGAACAAAGCAAAGGTAAGAATCCTACTACATTTGCTAGATGAATATATGGTCATGATTGAGAATTTAGCGAAACAGCAGAACAATTTAGAATAGGATCAAAAAGTGGGTTTTCGAATATGAAACCATTCAGCTCCAATTCCAGTATCCCCTCTATGCCAAATACTTCATAATGAGTTTATGCATCATCTAATGTGCAAGAGTATCAAATAATTAGTTTACTACGAACCAGATCTAGAGTTGTCCATAAACTTGAGACTATTTCTTAAGTAGCTTTCTTTATTCTACAGGTGAACCAAGACTTTAGTGAAGATGAGGAAAAGAAGAATATACACACAGTGGACTCTCGTTGAAGGAGAGAAACAACCATCTTCTTAGATCAAAGTGGTATGCGGAGGGATAAAGTATTCACTTTCACGGCTTTAAAAGGCACAGCTCCCCATGGATTTACAGAACTCAAAGATGAGATTTCCAACGCCAGAAAAGAAAAGGTAAACGGAGAACCTCTGGGAAACAAACTATCTCCATGCAGATGGAACCCAGGAAGGTACAGGAGGTGTTGCAAGAAAGAAGCAATGATCTTGCCAACAAATAAACCACGCTGGAGGGCAGCTCAATGTTTTGCACATGCATGCCTGAGGTTCCTCACATAGACAAACACTGCTATCTCTCAAGGTGGTCAACCCAATGCAGGAGGCCATAACTAAACTGTAGCCAGATGCTATTAGCTTTCGCTCCAAAAGAGAGAGAGAGAGAGAGAAAGAGAGAGAGAGAGAGAAAGGGCTTTGGAGATTTTCGTGGACAGAGATTCTTGTGAAGAGAGAATCCAGCAAATGAGTTGCTCAAAATTTTCTGAAACCAATTCTGGTGCATATTAAATTATAAACCGCTAAGATACGGCACATAGCAGGACATGTTATCAGACAGTGGAAAGCATAATAAGAGCAGCTTAAAAAGTCTTTCTTGTAAGAAAATAGACTAGCCCATCAAAGAATGGCATGTGCATGACCTTTGAAGAAGAAACATCACAGAAGAGAGAGCCGTCAGGGTAGACATCCCATTTTGCTGGTTGATTGATTCTTCACGGAAACCTTTCAAGCTGGGTACATTTGATGCAATATACTGCCCAAGGTTCAGATGTTTCGGTGTCTGGTCTGTGCAAATACAAGAAAAATAAGTGATACAAAGGAAGTAGATAATACCAGCATCTGCCACCCGAATGACTGCATCGAAGAATTGTAATACTTATAAATTAGGAGGAAAAAGGACAAGGCAACCTGCAACTTACATCCAGATAATTTTTCTATTACTTTGCTCACAACATACATCGTCTTCTGCTTTGGTACTTTACACAGCTGAAAAAGATCATCAGCTATGACAAAGCATCTTGTCCTCTTAGGTTCAACTGATGCTAACTGAAGTAAAACATGTCCAACTCGATGCAGCACAGATGGATCACGGGCCAACCATCCTAATAAAGGCATTGCCATCATCAAAAATTGAAACTGATATAATGCCTAGCACTAATACCTGAGAATTCTGCATATTTTTCCAATAGTGACCAATGTAAACTTTTTTTTTTAAATAACAGTGACCATCTTAATTTTCAGTTAATCAAACTTCAGAAGCTGAAATTTCAGCTTTACCATCAACACATTAGCCAAGGCATCTATAAAATGATCCAGATACGCCTCAGTCATGAGTATTTACTACGCAATTCCCCCCATTGCTTTTACCGAACTTCTTGTATCAACCAGTCATCGAACATATCTTTGTTCTCAGTGTCTTTTGTTAGTTTGGTGTTTACTTTTGTGATACATAATAAATTGTCCATTGTTGATTCTTTTAAAGAATAGATCATCGCAATTAGATGAAGGAATAAAATATGAAAGGATACTATGATTCAAGGAAATTTAATGAATGGATATATGATCAACCAACATTTATCGGCTCAATTGTTCACTCGCCTATACAAGGTTGACTGACCTGTAGACCTAATATAATCTCTTTTTCCCTGCAATAGTCCCTTAACCCACTTCCATTCATGCATTTTATTTTAAATGTATTTGCAGCTAAAATGTCTAGAACAGTAGATGGCAAAACGGCGCACAGTTGCAAATTTCCCACCAGGCACCCCCAAGTACGATTACACAAACCTAGTCAATATGGAACACCTTCTGCAGGTTTTATGGTAACAAAAAAGGAGTAGCAGAGGACTGAGGGCGATTGACTCGGGAGCCACAAGTTTGTAATTGGATAGCCATTGAGCAACATCAAGACGATGGCAGTGGTCCCAGCGCTTATCAAAGGTTAACATAATCATAATTAATATGGTTTCAACGGAAGTACTACTCACTCTTAGATATGAGCATGCAATCTTATCCACCAAACTTGGTAAGGACCTGCCTCTGGAAGGAGGAGAACAACAGTAAAGTCCGCTATAGTCCACATGTTGAGGATCAGAAGAAGGAAGAAGCGAAGGAACAAAAGGAGGAATGAAAATCCAATATTTAAAAATTGTATCCATAGGAATGTGTTTGATTAGCTACTAGTAGTAGATGAAAGAATTGCTCACCAACTCAATAATCAATAGTTGATCTGAGCAGATGATCAGCCACAGAGGGAGAGGGACACGACTTACACTCCTAAGGGATGCGACAGTAGAAAGTTTCCTGCAATGAGCGAGAGCCTGATAGACCAATGCCACGTAGAGATGAAGTGCCCAAGGTTCGCGGACCTTTTTCCTAGAAAAGGCAATGACGTTATTTGGAGAATAAGCATCGACAGTAATACGGGGGATGCAAGCGTTACAAGAAATGATTGAGAGTTTAGCTCCCATTTGGCCATAGAATTTGGGAGCTTGTTTTCAAATATCCGTTTGTTTATAGATTTTAACCATTTTTGGCAGATTTGAAAACAAAATCTTCAAATCCCATAAGCATCTCTAGAGTAGTTTTTGAAGTTTTCTACTCACAGAACTTCAAATTCTTTTCAAGTATAATGCATATCCAAACACAATTTCAACTTTCAAAAATCATTCTTTATCTCATCTTTAAAAACTTATTTTTTTCAAATTTTAACCAAATCTATGTCCAAACGCTAGCTAAGAATCTGTAGATGGCTTTATGTCCACCTTCAAATCCTAAAGATCAATCCTTGAGAAGCAGTGAAAGTACCAAGCTGGAATACAATATGGGCAGCGGATATTTCCAGGGGAATGGTGAAATGCATGGATTGGAAAGAACACCTATGGTAAAAGTACTTTATTGGGCCAATACCGACAATAGGAGACGAACGCTGGGGGCAATTAGGAAGGAAAGCGTTGTAAGAAACGATAGTGATGGTAGTGCAAAGAACTAAGTTAGAGAGAACTGAATATTTCAGAATACGTGAGAATGGTGCCTGTCTTTATTGATTTTATTTACAGATACAAAGTTACTTTATTTACTATGATTTCCTATCCTTCTAATTATGGGATAGCTTCATTAACCATACACCAAAGTTGCTAACACTAATACAGTGGTCACCTAATTACCTCATAACATTAAGTAGCTGCCTCATAAATCTGAAATAGTTTAACACTCTACTTCAAACTTGTGTATGAATTTGTCCCAATTATACTTGATAATGGCCTGAATCTAACATTTTGCAAATAGAATCAAAACATGATAAAAAAAAAACATTAATAGCATTTTCGAATTTGTAAAAAATGTGGGCAGTTGAGTGGACATGTCTACTATACGAAATGTTGACTTCACAGGTCAATTGACGTGAGGTGATTGGAGATGTCATTTGACCTAGACAGCTAACTAGATCAGTCAGCTGAAGTAGATTGTTGACTTGACTGGTTATTCACATGGCTGTGAATGTGGCAGCTAATGTGGACTGTTGACATGGTTGTTAATGACAGTACTAGACCTAGCATGTGAGGCATGGGGCGCTGAGGAGGATTCTGGAGTATGTTTTTACCGTTGTATTCACCTTAAGAAAACATACCTTCTGGCGTGGCCAGTCGACAAATTTGACAAGACAAATAGATGGGGCACGTTATTTTTACAAATAAGTGACAAGTTGGACAATGCCAAAGAAGAAATCTCAACAAGATGGACTGGAGAATGCAGAAATAGGTTGCTAGCGATGTAGCTAAAGATAAAGTTGAAAAATATGGAGTATCCTCTAAGATCCTGCGCGCATTAAGAATTTAGAAACAACACTTAACTTTAAAATATCCAGGAATGCTCTTGCAATAGAAATGTTTCCAAGTCCTTGTGTATCAGTACTAAATATTGTAGTTTTTTATTATTTCCTTTAATTCATTAACTTATTTATTCCTGAGGAAGCCACCTAATTTACATTAGACCAATTAAATAGCTGCCTAATAAATCAACACATGTTCTAATAGGTTCTTGTGACAACTAGTTTTATGGTTGTGAAAAGTATCAGAAATTGGGGCTGGATTGGCCTTCAACAGTAAAGAAGAGAACAGGTAAAAGTTCCTTTTTATCCCATTTAGCATAAAAACTTTTCAACTTTTTTTCTCCTTTTTTTGGTGCTGTTCTAATATGAAAAAGGGAAGAACTTTTTATTATCCTGGTTTCCACCAATGCATTTTGCAATAAAAAGTTAAGGGACTTTTGCTGGGAGACTATTTCTACCTCTTCATTAACTGCTTACATACAACTGCAGATAAAGATTTTGGCCTCCTGGACATTGTTTTGATAAGTCACAAAGCAAATACTGTGGTAATTGGAGATAACGAAATTATACATACCAATACTGTCCAAACTTTGCGATACAGGCAGGATGCCAATAGTTGATATGGCCCCATGTGACGGTCTAAACCCAAAGACACCACAAAATGCTGCTGGTACTCTAATGCACCCAGTCGTATCAGTACCTGAAATAATTCAGCCTCTGTAACCATCTAATTTTCTGAATCTGAAGTCAAATCCTTTTACAAATTGTTACCACTCCAATCTAGTTAAACAGAAACCAATCAACCTCGTAAAAATAAAATCCATAGGTCTTTTTTTATTAGTCCAGTACAGTCAGAAATGTGGTGAAACTACTTCACACATATCTAAGATGAGGAAAAAAGAGTCTGACATTAAATTATCCAAAAGAAAAAGGAAGGCACCAAAGAGGAGGCCTTGACCACAGCAAGAATATATCTTCAGCAGGTCCAACATATTTATGCATCATATGCATACTTTAAACCATTATGGCTTAATCAAAATGAAACAGGGAACACAAGAAGAGGAAATCTTTGAATCAGTGACTCTTAATAACTGTAACTTCAATTGAAAACCCATACCTAGAGCAAAATCAACTAGTTCAGCTGCAACAGCAACAGCCGAGCCACTGGATGAGCCACCTGGAATATGAGATGGCACTTTTGGATTTGTTGGAGTACCGCAGTGCAGATTCTCTCCAGTAACCCTGAAACATTCGGGGGAGGGGGGGGGGGGTTAGTGGCTTAGTGCAGCGTCCAATAATAGCCATTGATATAGCTGAAAATCATACTCTCTCCATCCCAACTTTTCAAACACTCTTTCCATTTTGAGACATTCTAGAATGTTTGTTACCATTCCATTCCTATACATCTTTCACAACTTGTAAGAATTCAAATTCATCAAATGATTCAGTTCAATTTTGATGAGATGTTTTCTCTATCAAACTACTGTTCATGGTTAATTTAATGTTTATCTAATAGATTTTTTTTATAAGGTAAATTGTATTAATCAAAAGGGAAAAAAAACTCCCATATACAAGAAGTATACCAAAAAGTAGAGAATTTACATCAAAACATAATTCTCTACAAAAGACGCCAATCTTCTAGACAAGTAGGGGCTATATGAGTGCACCAAAAAGCGATCAAAGATAAAAGACTATTCTTATTTATCTAATAGATATACAGGGTGTGTATGGTACGAGGGAAAATGACTTTCTGGAAAATGTATTTCATGAGGAGATCATTTCATGGTGTTTGGTAAGACGGAGTCATTTCTCATGAAAAACATTTTCCATTAAAAGGAGGAAAATGATCTCTCTCACTTGTGGGCTGAAGTCATTTGCCTTACAACTATCTCATTTCTAACTTCATATTATTCGTTTCAATTAAAACTTAGACATTACCATTAATCTCTAGTACCCAAAATTTCTTCAAAACACTCTCCCATTTGTTGATATTATTGTTAATCTTTAATATATATTTCTTCTGGGGAAAAATTTCACTCACCAACCAAATACTAGAAAACATTTTCTAGGAAATATTTCCAGGAAACATTTTCTAGGAAATATTTCCATGGAAAATGACTTCCTTCATACCAAACATACCTATGATTCAAATTAACTTTTGAAACTCCGTATCCAAATAAATATCGTCAAATAAAATGAGAAGGGATTAATGTCAAACAATAAATAGTATTAAAAGCATAGCTACCCGAGTCCAAATTCATCCATGATGGTCTTTCCAACACAAGTAGCACCATTCTTCAAAAGAGCAGTCACGACCATGGCTGTCTTCGTAGCCACCTCATGTGTCCGCTTCCACTCCGGACTACCGAAACCCGTCACAGATTCCTTCACATCAATACTATAAGTACATGAAAAAAAAATAATTAAAACCAATTCCACGTCCAAAATTGCATTATCAAAACAAAATGTTAGTCCAAAAAGAACAATTTTTTTAAAAAAACTGTTCTTTATCAAATGGCCAAATTTATTTAACAGAGGAGTGTGACAGAACTTGTCTTTGATAGCAAAAGTGAGGGCAGAAAGGGAAAGTGGAGCAGCGGGAGGAGGAGGTTGAGGAAACGGAAGCAGCTCAATGCGTTCAATGAACGCGCCAAAATCTTCTTTGATTGAGTTTCTGGCTTTAAATCGTCGCCGTTGAACTTCAGCCAGGATCAATATTCCGGCAACACCGACGCCGATCACAACCCAGACTTTGGGGTTCGATACATTTAGCTTCGATAATTTTGTCATCACCGAAGTTTGGTCGGCGAATTTAAGGGTTTAAGGAACAGAGGAAATGGTAGTACTGATTTTTTGGGTTTTAGAGAGGAGAGGACAGGGAAATGGGGTTTAAGAGGAGCTTTGTCTGCGCAGCTGTAGAACCTTCCACGTGCTTGCGCGCGTTTCCTTCACGCGCGAATCTTCCTTTTTCGCAAGATACAAGAAAACAATTCCTTTTATCACGTATTCTATCACTAATCTTGCAATTTAGACGGCGTTCCGAAAAGAATGATATATTTTTACTATTAGAAATAATTTAAGTTTAAACTCTTCATTTTATGGGAAAAGTGTACAATAATAATAACGATTCAGCAAAATTTTACTAGTGGGGTCTAGGGAGGATAGTATGTACGCAGATCTTACCCTGACCCCAAGAGAGTAAAGAGGTTGTTTCCGAAAGACCCTCGGTTCAACAAGACGAAAAGAGACAATATTAATTCCACAATAGAAACTATAGGTAAATAACAGCATGAAAATGAGAAAGTAGATGCAAAGCAAAAACGATAGACAGAATAGACTCGGCACTATGAAAAGCGAATGAGTAGTAAGACACAACATTGCTACTAGCTCAATCGACAAAAATCGGACTAGCCTCATAAAGGTACGAAGTAAGGAAAGACTCAACTACCTCCTAACCTACAACCCTAATACTCGACCTCCACAGCTTCCTATCAAAGGTCATGTCCTCGGAAATCTGAAGTCTCGCTATGTCCTGCTTCATCACCTCTCCCCCAATACTTCTTAGGTCGTCATCTACCTCTTATCCTACCCTCCAAAGCCAGCCGCTCACACCTCCTTACCGGAACATCTGGGCTTCTCTTTTGTATGTGCCCGAACCATCTGAGTCTCGCTTCCCGCATCTTGTCATCAATGGGAGCCACGCCAACCTTCTCCCGAATATCATCATTCATAATCGTATGAGGGAAGTGCACAGTTAACCACTAATTAGAGATGTATTTACTCTTAAGCCATTATTTAAAACGTATTTATTCTTTAGCCAATGCTTTAATAAATTTTTACCCGTCCGAACAAAAATACTCATGTGCTAGACATGGTATCCTTAACTTTATGAGTGTTGTGTAAATATTAAGGACAAAGTATCATGAATTAGCACATTTTGTTTTAAACTTTAGGACATCCTGTCTTAACTTCATATGTGCAGTGTAAATGTTAAGGACATGTGTCCTTAACTTCACAAGTGTTGTATAAATATTAAGGATATGGTATCCTTAACTTCATGAGTGATGTGTAAATATTAGGGACAAAGTGTCATGTATTTGCACCTTATGTTGTTAAATTCTAGGACATCAAGTCCTTAACTTCATATATGCGGTGTAAATGTTAAGAACATGGTGTCCGTAACTTCATGTGTGCAATGTAATTGTTAAGGACATAGTGTTCTTAACGTCGTGAGTGTTGTGTAAATATTTAGGACATGGTGTCCTTAACTTCATGAGTGTAGTGTAAATATTAAGGACAAAGTGACTTGTATTTGCACCTTTTGTTGTTAAATTTTAGGACATCATATCCTTAATTTCATGAGTGCTGTGTAAATATTCAAGACAAAATATTCACAATATTTACACAACACTCATGAAGTTAAGGATACCATATCCTTAATATTTACACAACACTCATGAAGAAAGGGTAAAATCATCTTTTCGTATTAATTTTAATAGAGTAGTGTCTATTTTTGCTCAGCATTAGAAATACTGGATAAAAACTAAATACCACATTAAAAAGTGGCTGCCCCACGCTTTCTACTCATTTTATCGTTGATGAGAAGTTTTTATAATCACACAAATGTCGTGGTCCAATAAAGTTTTATAATCACACAAATGAGAAGTTTCAAAAGTCTTTTTTTCTTAAACTTCATGTTGAGTCAAACTATCTCATCTAAATTAAAACAGATGGAGTACTATACTAGGAGCTTGTTTGACCAAGCTTCTGGGAGGCAAAAGTAATTTTTGAATAAAAAACACCTTTTTTTTTTTTTAAATTTAAGTTATAGAAGTAAGTAGTTTTTCTTTAAGAAAGAAACAATAAATTCTAGCTTCTTCCAACAAGCAAAAGCATAAGCAAAAAATTAATTTTTTCAAGACAAAAATATTCTTGTGGTAGATTTATATTTATTCAAATTATTCCTCATTAATTTAACCTTCTTCTTTTTTTTCTTTCTACCATCCCTTCTTTTTTATTTTAGTGTATGTTTATTCTCCTTCTTATCCCCTTTGGAATAATCTCTCTAGTATAAATAACTATTTTTTTAATATATCGTTTCTTCTTGTCTTCATCCCATATCCCTCTTTAAAATAATTTACAAGGCTAATCACCACATTTAGATACTCTATTTACAAGATATGAATTCTTTTTTTTCCTTTTGTAGTATCAATATCATATGCTTTCTAGTTTGTAGTTGTATTTCACTTTTTATTAGCGTATATATATATATATATATATANTTCTCCAAGGCATCCTTCACTAAATCAGTGCCATATAACCTGGTCTCGCTAGGCTCAAACCATCCGATGGGCGAATGACATCGCCGACCATACAAAGCCTCAAATGGAGCCATCTCAATGTTGTACTGATAACTGTTGTTATAAGCAAACTCGGCCAAAGAAAAGAATCGATCCCACTGCTATCCAAAGTCAATCACACATGCTCTGAGCATATCCTCCAAGATCTGAATCGTCCGCTCTGACTACCCATCGGTCTGTGGATGAAAGGCCGTGTTGAGCTCTACCCAGGTACCCAACTCGCTCTGTACTGCTCTCCAGAAGTGCGAAATGAATTGAGGGCCTCTATCTGAAATTATGAAAATAGGCACACCATGCAACTAAACAATATCCTGAATGTAAATCTGGGCCAATCTCTCTGAAGAGTACGTAGTCACAACCGGAATAAAGTGTGTCGGCTTGGTCAACCTATTGATAATGACCCAAACGGTATCAAACTTCCTCAACGTCCGCGGTAACCCAACAACGAAGTCCATAGTGATGCGCTCCCATTTCTACTAAGGTATAACCATCTGCTGAAGTAGGCCACCTGGCCTCCGGTGCTTATACTTATCCTACTGGCAATTTAGGCAACTCGCTACATGCTCAACTATGTCTTTCTTCATCCACCGCCACCAATAATGTTGTCTCAGGTCATGATACATCTTCGTAGCACCTGGATGGATAGAATAGTGAGAACTCTGTGCCTCTTCTAGAATCTTCTCCCTCAATCCATCAACATTAGGAACACATAGACGACCCTGGAGTCGTAGGACACCATCCTCATCAATAGTAACCTCCTTGGCACTACCCTGTAGTATTGTCTCCCTAAGAACCAGCAAGTGCGAATTGTCATACTGACGAACCCTGATTTGCTCGAATAATGAAGACCGAGCAAGGACGTATGCAAGAACTCGACTAGGCTTTGAAATATCCAACCTCACAAGTATGTTATCCAAGGACCAAATGTACATAGCCAATGGCCTCTCCTCTGGTGAAATGAAGGCCAAACTACCCATACTCTCGGCCTTTCTACTCAAGGCATCCGCAACCACATTCGCCTTGCTCGGATGGTAATGGATGGTAATATCATAGTCCTTTAGTAACTCAAGCCACCTACACTGACTCAAATTGATATCCCTCTGCTTGAACAAATGCGGCAAGCTGCGATGATTGGTGTAAACCTTACAGGACACCCCATAAAGATAATGCCTCCAGATCTTGAGAGCATGAACTATCGCGACCAACTCTATGTTATGTATGGGGTAATTCTTCTCGTGGGGCTTCAGCTGACGTGAAGCATATACAATAACACACCTTTCCTACATCAATACACAACCCGGGCCAATGCGTGAAACATCGCAATACACAGTATACATCCCTGAATCGGAAGGTAACTCTAATATGTGGTCTTGAGTTTCTGAAAGCTCGCCTTGCAGTCATCGGACCATCGGAATGGAGCATCCTTCTGGGTCAATCTAGTCAAAGGTGTTGCAATAGATGAGAAGCCCTCCATAAACCGGCAATAATAACCTGCTAACCCCAAAAAACTCTTTATCTCGGTCGCTGTGGTAGGACGAGGCCAACTCTGGACTGCCTCGATCTTCCTGGGATCTACCTTAATACCCTTGCATGATACAACATGCCCCAAGAATGCCATAGAACCTAACCAAAACTTGCACTTGGAGAACTTAGCATAAAGCTTTTGTTCTCGCAAAGTCTGAAGCACAACTCTCAAATGATGCTCGTGCTCCCCCATACTACGCAAGTAGATCAATATGTCATCAATGAAGACAATGATAAACAAGTCAATATATGGCCTGAACACCCGGTTTATCAAAACTATAAATGTCGTCGGGGTGTTAGTCAAGCCGAAGGACATCACTAGAAACTCATAGTGGTCATATCTATTCCGGAAAGCCATCTTCGGAACATCCGAAGCACAAATCTTCAACTGATGGTACCCCGATCTCAAGTCGATCTTAGAGAACACCTTGATACCCTACAATTGGTCAAAAAATCATCAGTACGCATCAACGGATACTTTTTCTTAATGGTAACTTTGTTCAACTGGCGGTAATCAATGCGCACCCGCATAGTCCCATCCTTCATCTTCACGAACAACACTGGTGCACCCTAAGGCGACACACTAAGTCTGACGAACCCCTTTGCTAGCAACTCCTCAAGCTGTTCTTTCAACTCCTTCAACTCTTTTGGAGCCATGTGGTACGGTATAATAGAGATAGGTTGGGTACTTGGAGCTAAATCAATACTGAAATTGATGTCACGATCTGGTGGCATGCCTGGTAAAAACATACTTAGACTTCAAGGTTTTCCAACTTACTCAGAATGCAACGAATGTACTTAGACTAATCGGAATGACACCAAATTTTGCGTACAAGTCATAAATCACCATACGAAACTCTTCCTAGGCTCGGAATCCCAAACGGACCTTGATAACATCAAAGCCTACTCCAAACCAAACTTAAAGAACTTGAAAACCTTCAATGTGCCATGTTGAAACGCTCCCGGATCATCTGATACCCGATCTAA